CTGTATGTGCCCTGATCAGGGATTGGGCCACAGCCGAAGTATGTGTCCTCACTGGGAATCGAAGTCACAACCTTTTGGTGCATGGGGTGATGCTCCAACCACTGGTTAGGATAAGAACATTTTATGAATTTGACCCCAAAAGCAAGGGAAGTAAAGGCAAAAATAAATGAATGGGACTATATCAAACTAAAAAGTACCTAGAAATAAACTTAACAAAGGATATGAAGGACATATATATATATTGAAAACTACAAAACATTATTAAAAGACTGAAAAAGACACGGAAATGGAAAGATATTCTGTGCATAGCAGAAGAAACTGCCAACAAAACAAAAAGGCAACCAACTGAATGGGAGAATATATTTGCAAACAACAGCTCCAACAAGGGGTTAATATCCAAAATATATAAAGAACTAATACAACCTAACACCAAGCAAACAAACAGTCCAATTAAAAAATAGGCAGAGGACCTGAACAGACACTTTTCCCAAGAAGACATACAAATGGCCAACAGGTAAATGAAAAGACGCTCAACTTCATTAGCCATTAGGAAAATGCATATCAAAACTACAATGGATGTACCCTTCCACACTGTAAGAATGGCTATTATCAACAAGAAAAGTAACAACAAGTGTTGGAGAGGTTGTGTAGAAAAAGAAACCCTCATTCATTGCTGGAGGGAATGTAAACTGGAATATCCACCATGAAAAAGAATATGGAGATTCCTAAAAAAATTAAGAGTAGAATTACCATATGACCCAGCAACCCCTCTTCTGGGTATCTGCTCAAAAAAATTGAAAACATTTATTTGCAAAGATATGTGCACCCTATGTTCACTGAAGCACTACTCATGGTGGCCAAGATGTGGAGACAATGAAAATGTCCTTCAATAGATGATTGGATAAAGAAGATGTGGTACATATATACAGTGGATGTACTACGCAGCCATGAGAAAGGATGAAATACTGCCATTTGCAACAACATAGATGGACCTTAAAGGTATTATGCTAAGCAAAATAAGCCCCAGTCAGAAAAAGCTAAGAACCATATGATTTCACTCATATATGGAATATAAAACCAAAACTCATAGACACAGACAACAGTATGGTGGTTACCAGTGGAGAGGGAAGAGGTAATAGTAATGGGGAAAGTGGGCCAAACATATGGTGTTGAAGATGAATTGACTTTTGAGTGGAGGGTGCCCAATGCAATAAATAGATCCAGGCATCATAGAAATCTGCACTTGAAACCTACATAATCCTATTAATCAATCTTACCAAAATAAATTTAATTAAAAAAATAAACTATATATCTTTCTTGGTTGGATCCAATGTACACTGGCTCTTGTCTTTAGTAAACTAGAGGTTATCCCAGGGAGGTTACTAAAATGCCTATTCTTGGGGTCTTACCCCCCAGACATTCTGCATCCATAGACCACAATTTGCAAAACATTCATCCTTGATTTAGAGAAACTTAGATTTTTCATATAAAAGTGACAGTCCTATCTAGTATAGAATTTAGATTTGAAAGCAATCTCTTTTCTGATGACTCCTACACACACATAACTATAAACATCTCTGTTATGTTACATACTTTATAATGTGTTTCTTTGTGTACTTTCTTTGCCTTCTCTCTCAGCTCTTGGAAAGTGCAGTTCAAGTCTTTATCTAACCCAGTGGTCAAATGTTGTGAAATAAAAGTATATGTGACAGAAACCAAAGCATACAGTTCAAATGTTACTCTCTTGACTTAGGAATCAAGTTTATCTGCCAGCTATGTAAGTTCCTAGCCTTCCCCCCCGCCCCCACAAAGCTCAGATGTGGATAAGCACAGTGCTAACCCCCTAGACAGCAATACTGCCTGCTAAGTCGAGAGAGGGACTGTTGTTTTATTTAAAAATATGTGTATAAATCACTGTTAGCTTCTGTGCCTCTCCCAGGACCTCTGCTGAGCCCTTTCCTGTGAATCTTAAAAATGAAAAGACCGCCTGCGAAGCAGCAGAACTGGTTCAGATAAGCATCCCAGTGGTTTTCCATGTGACAAAATTATCAAGTGTGATGGGAAGAGACCCGAGGGACAGCAGCAGCAGCTCTCTGCAACCCCCTGGTGGCAAGATGCTCCATGGCTCCCCAGCCCCGCCCTGCATCCTGGCTCTTACAGTGGACGCAGGCTGCAGAAGTTAATTCTATGTCCCCAGCAGCGCCAAGCCCAATGTGCCTACAAATATTTGCTGGCAAATAGGTTTACAGTGTGAGTGTCAGGAAACAAAAACACATCGTTTGAATTTTACTTTCTTCTGCCCGAGGATCACTGGTTCTCTCTAACTTCCAAATCTGTGTCTATGTGTGTGCGCGCACACGCACGCACGCTTGCTTAATTTTATGTACAGATCAGTCAAAAACCTAATGTGGAAGATCTCCGAGACTCAAAGCGCAATCCTAATAGCACAAAGTATATATATGCCTACATTCTCACTGATAAAACTCCAGGGCTGTTCAGAACAGTCATTGCACCTACCAATGGTCATGCACCCTGGCTCAGACTCGGAACCCTCAGAGCAAGTCAGGACTAGATTCAAAGTGATTGTCCCAGAGACACTGCTCAGATGGTTTAGCCTGAAGAACAGAGAAGACTAAGAGAAAACTGAGTAAGGGTTTACCAGTCTGGGGATGCTCAATGTCCACTGAGATTAGAATAGTAAGAAATAATCTGGGGTGGGTGGTGGTGAGGGGGAGAGCTCAAGTTCTTTTGATAAAGAACCGCCTAGAAGAGCCTGAATCTTGTACCTGGATTCTTCTTCTTTAGGGATCATTAGGGGGAAAATTTAGTCAAGAATAAGTGCAGCCCTGCCCTAGGCAGGGGGACACATTTGACGGAATTTTGGGGTCCTTTCCAGCCCTACAAATAAAGGCTCACTTAATTAGTCCCTGTGAATAGGCAAGATGGGACAGTGTGAATAAAAGCAAAAGGCAATTTACTACAAGATTTGGACAGAAATGACTTCACCCATGCACACAGCTACTATAGGGACTAAACACAGCTCTTGGATTCAAGTTTCCTAATGACAGAAGCAGCCTTTTAATGGAAGCTGCTTGCTGGGCTAATGGTCAGGCCCTGCGTGGAAATTCTGAGATCAATAGGCCTTTCTGAATTCAGGAAATCAAGACTGCACCTAAAGCTTAATGGTCTGATCAGAACAGCAAATACATACAGTCCTTTCCTCTCTTCCCCACCAAGCATTTAATTGGTTCACACCCTACTTTTCCAAGAAGTTAATGCTGTCATTATGCAACCTTTGAGAAGAAGCAAGCAAGGAGAGATGACAAATGGTTCCCAGAAAATCCCATGAAAGAGGGTCTTCTGGCAACCTAGGCTTCACCTTATTTAAAAAGAGCTACATTTTCAAAAAACACTAGTGAGGTCCACTCATAAGTTGATTCTCTTCCAAATTTAAGAGAAGTCTCTACCTTGCTGGGATTACTAATTGGATCCAATATTCCTATTTCAGAGTTATAGGCGCTTTGTTCTAGGAAAAAGTTTGAATTATACATTTTTAAAATGCAAATTGTTTCCTAGAACAATGCTTATTGATCAAAGATATTTCTTCCTTGTCTTTGGCTTTTATGAAATGGGAAAGCCCAAGTGAAATATCAGGGAAATGAAGAAAGCCTTAAGAAAATAAATCAGAAAACCAAATCATGTATCTTAAATACAATCAAAACTTTCACATTTAATAGGGATTCATCTGTTTCCCATGCTCTCTACAGATCCACTTCACACAGAGGTCATGGAAGAGAAGCCTTCCTTGTGAACCAAAGAGATTTTCTGCTCAATTGGGAGACTCCAAGGAACAGAGTCGCCATTAGGAAGGGGCTGGGGAGAGGAGCAATGCATAGCAGAATTTTCACCAAGGGCTGAAACACATGTGGTTAGTTGGCCACAAAGTGTGATCAATGAGAACATCCCCTCTGTACACCCCCTGTAACTAAAACTTATCTAACTGTATTGCTGGAAATGCTTGTTTTACTTGGTCCACCACCCACTCCTGGCTAGACAGTATGCTCGAAGAACTGGCAATATGTCTGCTTTTCTCATTGTCATATCTCAAGCACCTAGCAGAGTGCTGGCATTCAATGAATAAAAGCTAACTTTAAGCTAAGAGTTTGGTATAATAAAAGAATCAGACAAGAATAAAAAAAGAATTAACAGTAGGCCTCCATTACTTAATAACATCTCATAAATAGTTAAGATACCTTCAAAGTGTAAGAATTCACAACTGAATTCTGAAGTGGGAAACCTACTTAGGAATCATTAATTTCTTAAAATCTTAAGTTTGGAGAACACTATTGCTTTAAAACTAGAGTCCTCTTACTCATCATTAAAAAAGTTTTTAATGATTTGTTTTGCCCAACTTTAATGAACCCAAATTCTGACTTTGTACTGCAGAAAGAACACTAAAAGCAAGCTTGATTACTGCTACTTACATAATTTCTCACCAAAGGCCCACAGGCGCAGGAACTGCTTACTCTAAAGCCCTTAGAATACAAGAAACTCCCCAACCAACGAATAAGTCTGAAGTTCTACTTTCAGAGCTCCTCTCTGTACACAGTCAAGAATTTTTTTCTGACATTTTAATGACTTTATTATTAATAACTACTTATCAAATCTACTCATACTGACTTTGTGAAATCCCTCCCCACACATCACGCAGCACTTTGACTTCTCTTATCTTCCTTCATTGAGTCAGGGAAGAATCAATGAGGAAAACAGGATGGAGATGGACAATGGGATCTGTTTCTGAAAAGTAGCTGTTTTATTTATTATATTTTATTTATTTATTTAGAGAGAGTGGGGAAGGGAGAAAGGGATAGGGAGAAATGATGTGAGAGAGAAACATTGATTGATTGTCTTCCATGTGCATCCCAACCAGGGACCACACCTACAACCCAGGCGTGTGCCCTGACCAGGAATCAAAGTGGCGACCTTTAGCTTTGCAGGAGGACACCCAACCAACTGAGCCACACAGTAGCTGTTTTAAAGATATTTTATTTTTTAATACCACTAATGACAAAAAAAAAAAAAAAAAAGCAAAACAAAACAGGAAGAAAAAAACAAACTCTCAAAACCAAAACTTGCAACTTAAACCTTTCAGGAAATAAAAGGCTGTAACTATGAAAACACTTAAAGTGAACACTTAATGCACAGTCCTGATGGGCCTGACCATTAAAACAAACAACTGGATATTCTACAGTTATCTCTCCAGTGCCTTTCTAGTGCTTTAAAATCATCTCTCTCAAAAATAACAAGACAAACAAGCTTCCTTTATCAGTATTTAATTTTTATAAATTGCATCAGACCTACAGTGAGTGTATTTCAGGGAGTTTCACCAAAACCAAAGAGAAGTTCAAAGAGAAAACTGCAGCAGAAGATGAAGGAAAGCAGGTAGAACTGCATGGTCACAGAACTAACTTGAAAATTGTTCTTAATCTGGGACACCTGAACAAACTCATGAGTCCACAGCCATGTGTTAGGACGGCCCTGTTGCCAGAGGCTAGTTGATGACGGCACAGCTGGTCCTATCTCCCCTCCAGGGGTCTAAGCTGTAACTCGCGCTCAAACTGCTCCGCAGTCAGGGTGCCCTGGATGGCTTCGCAGCCTGGGTTGAACACAGAGTAGGCGCTCTTCTCTCCCTCCTTCTTCTCCCCAGGGCCTCGTGTTCCGACATACATCCAGTAGAACAAGGACAGGACAAAATAAGCCAGACCAAATTCCAGTTCCACAAACAATCCCAGCAGGACCAACCAGAGAAGAACCTTTAAGAAGATGATGCTGGTCAGGAAGGACTGGTCCCGTGGCAATGGCGGGGGAATGGCTGTTCTTTGTGGGGGCTGTGATGTGCTGCTCCCTGGCTGAGCGGCTTCCTAGGACACAAACAAACAAAGGTAAGAATAAAGGGTAATGGGGCTGAGAAAATGAAAACCAATCTGGAGAGGCAGCTCCCATTGCTCTGGGAAGGCTTCTGGCTCATTGATTTCTATTTCTTTGCCCTGCCCTACTCTCACTGAATTAAAACTGATCAGCACTTAGTGAGATGACCAGATAAAAACCGTACAGCATTTGGATGGTTTCCCCTTCGTGGGAGACATTTCCTCAGATGAGTCTACGGCTAACAAGAGCTAATTTGTGCCTCACACAGAAGCTCCCCAGTAACTGGTAAGGCAAGAGCCACATGTATGCTTCACACACAGAATCAATGGTCCCTGACTAGATAGATAAACTAAAATTTTGAGTGACATGATTCTAAAATGAGTGCCAGAAACAGGAAACAAAAACCCCTTCCACATATTTAAAAATAAAAATCACTGTTATAGCCACAACCTTTCCAACCAATGACCATCCTACACATCCTCATACCCAGGCAATGTCTCCTAAGAGGACTCCCCGCCTCCCATCTCTTCCCTCTTCATGCCATCCTATGTACATACAGTTGCTAAATGAATCTCCTAAACACCAGTCAACCTCCTGTTCACAAGCCTTCAACAAATCGTTATTGCCTACAGGTTAAAATTTAAACTCCTTGGGCTGGAATCCAAGGCCTTCCATTTATTCAACAGATAGAAATGCCAGTACTAGAAATGCCAGTACACAGACTCCTGTGCTGGGTGCTAATGGGAGACTCAGGTATTCAGGTAGACTGAGGCAGCTTTAGAGAACAGCTTGATCTCTACTCCAATATTTTCCAAACTTTTTTAGGTGGTATCTACAATTAAATTTTTTAAAAGTTTTGCACTGTGACCCAGCATGCATACATATGCATCTATATGTATACATGTATGCAACAGAAAAAAACATTTCACAAATCAACACATACCTTCACTACATATGAAGCTGTCATTTTCTATTCTATTTTTTTAAATTTATTTTAACAGAGGGCTAGGTTTGTCAATTGATTTTTACACTCACTAAAGGGTTATGACTTACCATTTCAAAAACAATGGTCTAAAAAATTTCCTGTACAACACAATCTAATGCTGTATAAATCCACCCTCTACTCCTGTTCAACTGGTCTTACTACCCAAAGACATTGCCTGTCTGTGGCCTGGAATGGTCTGTTTCCTCTCCAATCCTCAGCCCCTTGCCTTCCTTCCAGGCAAGCACGATTGCTGAACGGTGTATGCCCTGACCTTCTCTGCCATACAGGAGGGCGCTCCCTCTGCCTTCCCGAGCACTGACCGGCTCTTTCTCATTGAGCACCGAACTATTCAGCACTGAAGTGTTTCTCTTTTATTTTTTAAAAAATTTATTTATTTTTTTACTAATTTAAACTAACAAGATAGAAACAGACTCACAGATACAGAAAACAGACTGACAGCTGTCAGAGGCCAGGGGATGTGAGGGGCTGAGTGAAAAAGGTGAAGGGATTAAGCAAAGGAAAAGAAAACCCAAAGCCCTCGTGGGTGTGGCTCAGTGGACTGAGGTGCTGGTTGGATTCCCCATCAGGGCACAGGCCTGGGTTGTGGGCCAAGTCCCCAGCTGGCAGCATGTGAGAGGTAGCCAATCCATGTGTTTTTCACACATTGATGTTTCTCTCCCTCTCTTTTTCCCTCCCTTCCCCTCTCTCTAAAAATAAATAAGATAGTTTTTGAAAGAAGGAAAGAAAGCTCATAGACACAGACAATAGCATGAGGGGTGAGAGGAGATAGAAAAGGGTAAAGAGGGGATAAGTGGTGATGGAAGGAGACTTGACTTAGGATGGTGAACATGCAATACAATACACAGATGACTATTAAAAAAGAAGTTGTCTAAAAAAACCATTAGGCAAAATTATACTTACTTTAGTGTCTCTCTTTTCATATAGGTCACGTGTGTCCCTAGATTGTAACCACTAAGCCACAGACTGCCATTTATTATCTTTTGATGTCTCTAGAGCTAAACACAGAACCCATATGTAGGTTCTCAATACAAAGCAGAACTTTCAGTGCATTTCTTCAATTCTATCTCCTATTTTTCACTTAATTTTATAAGGGACCACAAATGTTATTTGGTCCTGAAAAAAACAATACAGGTCATCTGATTTATGTTGCTTCAGAAACTCTATTTTGTTAGAACCTTCTTTTTGAGCATCAACATTGTAATTATTATCTTTTCAGTTATATTGGAAAAGCTCTTAACGTACTATCAGCAACCCCCACCCCCATACACACTTATTAAATAGATAAATGTCCCTTTCAGATTTGACGAGTGTACACAATAGGGAAATCACTGCAGGTCTTTGTGGGTAACTAATATAATCGATTTATATCTAGGACTACTCTGGCTGCCAGGCAGAGAATGGGTTGCAAGAGTAAAGTAGGGAAATTGTAGCTTATGCAGGAGGCCCAGCAAGAGAGGACCAGGCAGAGATTAGGATGGTGACCCAGATGTCAGAGAGAAATGATGGACTGATGGATACAGAATACATTTTGAATGTATATGACTTGAAATTTGTAGTAAACTGAATTTATTATATTATTAAGGGAGTATAAAAATAATGCTTATGGCCATCATTTTTTGACTCAGTGCTTTAAAGATGCCTGATCACCTGTAATCCAGGCAGGTACTATTATTCCCAATTTACTCATAAGGAATCACTGAGATATTAAGTAACTCCCCTAAAGTCACACAGCTAGTGATAGGCAGAGATGAGGTTGGTCAAGGATCTGAGGATGATCTCCCTCCAAAGCCCTTGTTACTTAATTAGGAGCCTTTACAGAAGATGATCAGTGAAGGGTCTGAGAGCTAGAAGGAGGTGGGGAGGGGGATGCTTAAATGAACTGGCAAAGGGACAAAGAAAGGAAAGGAGGGAAATGGGAATTCCTTTGCCTCATTAGGCATTTGTTTTAGTTCCAATGTACCTTGTGTTGTGTACAAGTGGAAAGTGTTTGTGATCATCACAGCACATACAAGCATAGTTTATGGAAGATACCAAATACTAACCCGCTTCCTACCAGAGGGCCTTTGCACTTGTATGTCCCTCTGAGAGGAATGTCCCGGTCCCCTCACATCACCTGGCTGGCTCCATCTTCTCCTATAAACCTCAGCAAAAATGCCACCACATGTGCCCTTGGCCTTGTCCCCAGGTTTCTGCAAGAGTGGCTCCTTCTTATGAACTGTCACCACCTTGGTGAAGTCCTCCCTGCCCACCCAATTAAAGTAGCACTCTGCACCCCTCACCCGTAATTCACTGTCATTGTGTGTGTGTGTGTGTGTGTGTGTGTGTGTGTGTGTGTTTCCCCCCTTTCAGTGCATTCATCATTCTGTTCTTTTGTTTACTGTCTGCCTCCCCAAACTCAAACAGCAGTTCTGTGAGAGCAGGGCATTGTCGGTCTTTATCACACTGTCTCCCCAAATTCAGAACAGTAGCTTGAACAAGGTGGGCACATGACAGGATTTGCTGAATGAACGAATGGTGGCGAGGGAAAGGAGGAAACTAAAAGGTGCCTCCTGGACTTGAGGGGCTGATGCAAAGACTGTGCTTAGCCAAGTAACTCCAAAGAAAAAGTGCATTTGAACAGTGGGCCAACCTGAGCCAAGGGCTGGAGGTGAGAAGTTGCAAGACAGCTCTGGGCAATGAACCTTGGGGCTAGATGGTGCCCTGGGGCTGGTGTGGGTTATGTCTAGGGAGGGAGACAGGGAGTTTCTACAGGATTTTTAAAAAGTTACAAGCACTCTTGTCCCAATCTTGGGGAAGTCTGTCACAGAAATATTGTATTATACTTTGGGGGACTACATTTCCCCAAGCTAAATCTGAAAGTAGGGGAAAGAGGATGTGGATGCTTCCTTATCAATGACTACTGAAAAAAAGCAATTACAAACAGAAGTCTTAAGAAATATTACATGCCACTGTGTGTCACCACAATTATTAGGCAGAGATAGATTATAAATTAGGAAAAAAAACAATTTAATGAGAATTGTCACTCCAGAGCAAACCCAGGAATGATAACTGAGTCAGTGAAAATGAGCTTAGGATAGAAACAGTTTGATTAATAAGAACCAATTAAAGGTCCAGCATTTCCTCTCATCCTTTTTGTCAGGCAATCAGCTTTTGGGTTTTTAACAGTGGAAGCTTTCTCCAACTTCATATTCTCTGGGTTCAACTCAAAGATCTCATATTCTTTGGTAATTAACATATAGTAAAAAACTCATTGTGTGGGTTAGACATTGTTTTTTAACTGCAGGAAGAGAAAGGGGTAGGGGAAGTGGATTGGAAAAGCTTAAGCAATTATGCTCAGTGAGTTCTAATCAACAATGAAGTTATCCTGAGACAAAGGCATTTTGCATGTGAGAAAATGGATTGTTTGAACCCTGCAGCACTCTTTCTGCAAATTAGTTGGAATTCTCCCTGTCATGGAGAACAGTATCAAAATTTAGTAAAAATTCATGATTTTTTTTAAAAAAATCCTTAAGACAAAATGTGCAATAATAAGTCAACTTGATAAGGAATTCAGAAGGAATTTTTGACTCATTACACTTCTGAAGTACAAAGGCTACGTCACAGATTGTCTCAAAGCACTGGTCTTCCCTTGATGTTTTGTCCTGTATTCCCGCTTAAGATACTCCAATCTCACATGCAAGTCACTTTGCCAATTTACTCATGAGTGAAAACTAAATGAAGGTACAGAGATGTGAATTAAGTTCATCTGCAAAATAAGAGATTACCAAAAGAATTAAAGGGCAAGGAAGCTATCATACTAAATATTGTTTTCACCTTTAACATGCATTGATTGAAACTGAACAAGCTTCTCTAGTTCAACAGCAACATACACGCACATGCTGCCTCTGGCAGTTACAGCTACTGCACTTTTGCAAGTTTTGTATTCAAATACCATTTCTAAAGCACAGGCTATGTGGGTTACTGGCTGCATGCGGTCCAGGTGCGAAATCAAATAAAGCCTTAATTACTGCCACTTTTTCATCAGTATCCAATTAGACCTTTTACCCTCCATTATCAGATTGCTGTGGCTCAAAAGGGTTGTGCAGAGGTTTCCCAAAGCCACAAGGTGTCACAATGATCTCTCAACTAACTCAACTCACTGTTAATGACTCAAGGGCAGGGGTGCTTTCTTTTAGCACCCTAGACCAGAGATTTTCAATCAGTGTGCTGCAAGAATTTTTAAAACAGGCAATACCTGACTATTTATTTAGAGGCACTGACCTCTTCCTCCTTAAACTGTCAAGTAAAAAACTGACAATAGCAGCCCTGACTGGTGAGGTTCAGTGGGTTGGGTACTGCCCCGCAAACGGAAAGGTCGCCGGTTGGACTCCCAGTCTGGGCTCATGCCGTGCTCATGCCAGGTCCCCAGTAGGGGGCATGCAGGAGGCAACTGATGTTTCTCTCCCTCTCTTTCTCCCTTCCTTCCCCTCTCTAAAAATAAATCAATAAAAGCGTTAAAAAAAAATGACAGCAGCCAATTCAACAATAGCGGGCTGGTGTGAATTAATCAAAATTATGCCTATTTTTTCTTGTCAGATTGGCAAAAAACAATGTTTTACAGTATGCCACAGAAATTTAGTAATTAGTTTTTGTACCATGAGATGAAAAAAGTTGAAATCCGCTGCCCTAGACTCTGCTTTCTGTCATAATCGGGAGCTGCGGGAGTAAAGAAATTGTCAAACTGACTTATCAATGTTGACACGCAAGGCAGATGGGCGCCCCAGCTCAGGGAGCAGATTTGGAGGCGATAGGGAGGCAGCTGGCTGCGCCTGCAAGGCGGTGCCAGCATTCAGAGGAGGAGTGGCCTGTAGGACAGGACGCGTGGGCGGGGCCGCTTCGGGACCAGGCAGGCCAATCCCTTACGAGGACGGGTTAAACACTATTTCTTGGTGGCAGAGGCGGGTCTCGCCGGAGTTTCCTGAGAAACCGCCACAGCTGCCCAGAAGCCACGTCCTTGGGGGCGAGGCCTTTCTCCTCTCACCTGAGCGAGCCTGGGCTGGACCTGGGTCCTCGCGGGCCTCCATTTCCACACCAGGAACAGTTTTAGCCAGCCCAGGGCTGACTTTGAATCCGCAGTTGCTTCCGCCTTCTTTCCCGAGGTTTGTGCTCTCTGACTCGAAGTGCTGGATTCGGCCGTCAGCCCGGCCCGTTTTCGGGCCGCCCGGAACTCGGCTAACCGCTGTTCCATAGCGCACGCGCCTCGCTCCCCGTGAGACCGGGAGCGCGCGCCGGCCGCAGGTAATCTGCGCCCAGTTTAGCCCAGCGCCAGGCCGCAGTACGCTTGCGTAGCGGCGGCCCTCGGCTGCGCGTGCGCGCTGGGGTTTGGAGTTCCAGCCTGGGCTAGGTTTGTGACGTTTCCGTGGGCTGTCTGTGCTAATAGTCCCCTCCGGACGCACGCTGACGTGCTGTCCACCTCCTCAAGCACAAAGGTTAAGAATCTGAAGCTTAAAGACTCCTCCATTGTTCCTCTTTCTTGCACCGGGCTTCTCTGAGGGAGGCTCTTTGCTTCATCTCGTGTCAGGGATCTGCTCCCTAACAGGTATAGCCCATACTGGGGGACAGATTGTAATGGTGATCCCAGGGTATTGAAGAAGGTCCATGATCTCTGGAACGAAGACGGGATGCAATCTTCCCTTTTCCTTTTAACGAGTATGCCAATTTTAGCACTTGGCGGGTGGCTTTGTCACTGCTCACATGGCTGTGCAGACCTGTATCATTGCTCTTGCCACAATGGAAACTACCTGTTGGTGCATCTAGATAGGTCAGAAACTTAAAAACTTTTATTGGGGTGCAGCTTAAAATACACAAATCCTAAGTGTACGCCTTAATAAGTTTGTGCTTAAGTATACGCCTATGTAACTACTACCCAGCTAAATAACGTTTCTGGTACCCTGTTGGCTCCCTTGTGCCCTCTCCCAATCATTACTCACCCAAAAGGTCACAATTCAGGACAGGGACTGTTAGATATATTTTTAAAGTTCTAAGCATCTAGCTAAGTGTCATTTATGTTATTGAGACTCAGGTATTTCTTGGATCTTGCTGAGTTTGAATAAAGAAACTAGACAAACTGGAATGGCATCTTTTATTCACTAAACAAATATTTATCAAGAGCCTGCTATGTACCAAGTATTATACCTGGCACTAGATGCTGGAGTGAATGAAATTAACCCCTGATTTCTTTGTGCTTACATTTTAAATGGAAAGACAGACAACCAAATGCATGACTACATATTTATATTTAATGTAATGTCAGGTACTGCTTAGTGCTATGAAGAAGAGTGAGGCATAGGAATGGTGGGGCTATTCGGAGCTAATGACCAGGAAAGACTTCTCTGAGGAGTTACCATTTGCACAGAGCTCTAAATGAAATGGCACTAGATGCATGTAGATATTTGGAGAAGAGTGTTTTAGAGAAAACACCAAAGATCCTGCGACCTCAAGTAGTATGCATGATCTGCACACACATCATGGAGGAGAGGGAAGGAGGGAAAGAAAGGTAGAAAATTAAGATGCACAGATATCCAAGGCCCGGGTCACGTAAGGCCATGATGGACACTTTGTATTGCATTCTGAGTGTGATAATAAGGTATTGGAGGATTCTGAGCAGGAGGTGACATGGTATTTTTAAAGGATCACACTGGCTTTTGGAGGTGGGGCCATGGAAGAGTGCAAAAGTAGGAGGGAAACCAGTTAGGAGCAGATACAATAGTGTTAGAGAGACTGTGGCTGTTGAGGCTAGAGTGATAGTGATGGAAGTGGTGAGAATTGGGCAATTCTGAATATATTTTGAAGATCTGAGCCAGCATGATATGCCAATGGATTGAATGTGGAGTGTGAGAAAAAGGAATCAAGGATGGCAGATTCTGCCCACTTCCCCCATTCCCCCGACCCCACGCACACACATACCCTAAGTAACCAAATGAATGATGCTGAGGCCCTCTGCTGAAATGGGGAAAGATCAGGAAGAGAGGATTATGGAATAAGCATAGGTAGTTTTATTTTGGACATGCCAAGAGTTTTTGAGATGCCTATTGGACATCCAATATAGGCAACTGGATAATAAAAACTAGAATTCAGGGAAAAGTCAGGACGGAAGATACATTTTGGGATTCATCAGCATATGTATGATATTTAAATCTATGAGACTAGGTGAGATCAACTAGAAAGTGAGTGTGGATACGCAGAAATGATATTTTAGGACTGAACCCCCAATGATGAGAGGTGGTTTGTAAGACAGAAAAGAATAAGATCATTATACCACAATGACCTCTGATAAAGAAATGAGGGAGAATTTCTTGCCTATCTTGGTGTTAGGAGTAAGTCTGCTGCTCTCTCTCTCTTTCTCTGTCTCTGTCTCTGTCGCTGTCTTCCAGTTTACACAATGAATCTTGGCCCCAGATTTTTTGGTACAAAAAAGAAAAGTTTACCACCAGGTAGAGTGAATAGGGAGACCCTCAGCTCTAGAAAGTCACAGACAGGTATCATAGAAAACACAGCTTGCAAGATTTATTTAAAAGATTTGTTTAAAAAGTGGTGATGGAAGGAAAGCCAAGAAAGATGTGCCAGGCATTACCTGGGATTTTACTGGCATCCACTAGGTGCCAGGTTCCACTATGGCAGCATCCCAGGACACAACATGCCTGATGGCTCTGTCCTTCTGCTCTCCTGTGGAGCATCCAGATTGTGGCTAGTCAGGGCAGAGACTGCTGCCAAAGGCTGGGCCATCTCACCCTGGGGGCAGAGGAAGTGGGCACTAAGAGACAGTAGGTCTGTTTCTCTTTAAGGACTAGAGATTATTTCATTGATTGTGTTTCCCACTTGATAATCACACTGAGACCTTAGAGTTGTATTTATGGTCTACTTCTAGTAGGCACTTAGACTTAAGGCATGCAATTTGTGGGCTATTGCAATCAGGGTCCCTGGCAGGAAACATGGAACCTTCAAAAGTTCCATAAAGTTACATAAAGAAAGTTTCCTGAAGGAGTTTGTTACAAAAGTGTGGAAGGATTAAGGAAACCAGGTAGGGAGGGATCACAGGAAGTGTAACCAGCCTCTAGGCTTCGAGCAGGAAGAGGACAGAGTGGTCGTTAGAACCCAGCAAGACTTGTAGCTATAGGAGAAGCTGGAGACAAGGAGCCATAAAGAAGCAGAGAGCAAGAGAAGGGTGGGAAGAGAATTGAGAGGAGTAGATGAAGAATATCCAGCCAAGTGTTAATGTCATCCCAGCTCCATCTTGCTCTGGTAACCAAGTTTCCCCTTTGCCTCATTTTCTGATTATTGTAAATTTATTTTGTCTCAGTGCTTAGTAAACCTCTTTAAATCCTTTTTGGGAGAGTTTGAAAGAATAGAAAAAGTAACGATGAAAGAAATGCTCATGAAGAACAACTGCTGAACTAACTTCCTTTCCTTTTTGGATAAAGTTATGAGACTAGTAAATAAGGGTCTCAAAGTTACTTATAATGTGTGAATTTAATTTTTATTGTGGATTACTTTTATATATGAAATTGTGTGTGTGCGTCTGTGTGTGTGTATATATATTCCTGACTCCTTCCCACCTCTTAGATCTATTAATACAGTGAGTTGCATTAAGAGATTGTCTGTTAAACTCCTTACATTCTTGGAATAAAGAAAACTCATTCACTTAATAAAGCATGAAATTAAAAATTAGATTCAGTTTGGTAATTTTTAAAGGAATTTTGCATCTATGTTCATTAATGTGATTTTTCCAATAATTTTCTTCTTTTCATGCACTGTACTTGAAAGGTTTGGGTTTTAGGATTGTACTAGCTTTATGAAATAAGCTGAAACATACCTCCATCTTTCCCCCATTTTCTAGAACAGTTTTAATAAAATAGGAATTAATTGTTCCTTGAATGTTTGATAGTAGTAAAAAAATCTAGGCCTGATGTGTTCTTAGATCAGATAAATGAATGTAAGCTACAATTAACTAGATCTATAGCTGGTCAACACAGCCTTCCCCAAAAAGTGCTAACATCAGTCTGTCTGCCTGATGTTTTTTAAGAGTGACCTGTATGAAAGTATAAAAGGCAATTTGTCATATTTTCAGGTGACGACAATTTGAGAGAATGTTTACAGTTATGTTTTAGGGTAAAAGAATGAATTTGATTCAATTTATCATGATTAAAGGGTTGTGGAGATGCTCAGAGGGAACTCTACCTCCTGTATTTACATATATGTCTTTATATCTTTGTTTTTGTTTCTTAATTATTGGCTTGAGAACATTTGTTTTAATAGGACTTGGAGCTCTTCCCTGACCACACGCTGGAAAGGAGAGGCCATATGTGGTGGGCGCTTTAGCTGCTACAGTCAACTCCATTGTCATGGTGAGAGAGGATCCCCCAAGCCCCCTGCTCATGCTCTCTTTGGTCCTGTCCCTGCAGGTACCACATGCCAAGGTCTGAGCACTGTACTTTACATGACAACTCATAGAATGTCCAGAGGGGAGTGACCTGGATAATGATGTGTCTAGAGCATGATTTCTTGGCTTTGGGACTTTACATATTTTGGGCCACATAATTTTTTTGAGGGGGAGGTGTCCAGTGTCTTGTAGGATTCTCAGCAGCCTCCTCGGCCACAATCCATAGTGGCTAGTAGCATTCCCTGCTAGTATAATAAAAACCAAAAATGTGTCCTAGGAGGCAAATATGGCCCCAGGTGGGAATGACTGGTCTAGAGACTATAATGTAGTATGACTGGTGAAAGCAGTGGATGATTTGGGCCAGAGAAGAAGAATCATAGTGAAAACATACCAGTTAATTTTAGAAACACTGTTAAAAGGGCTGCTGTGAATGGGGGAGGAGAATCATTCTGTGGGGCTCCAAAAGGCAAAACTAAAGCCAACAGTTGGAAATGACAAGGTGACAAATGTAGAATCTAAAAAAAAATTTTTTTTTTAATTTTTTCAACAACTCATAAACATCAGCAGCACGGTCTGCCTTCCATGGCAAGTGAGCTCCCTGACACTAGCAGCATTCAAGCAGAGACTGAGCACTTGTCAGGAATGTTGTAGAGGGGATTTGGTTAACCTTGATGACTGCCAAATCTCTTCCAACTGGAGAACTCTGTTTCACTCCAAGTAGAGAAAACTGGGAGTAGAGAATGGAAGTCCTTGGGTCATCAGGTTAAGAATGTGTCACATAAGGTGTTCATGGCACTGCCCATGTGTCCTCAGATCTCACTATTGTTGGACATGCTGATGGCTTGTTTTTATTGGGTTGGCCAGAAAGTTTGTTTAGTTTTTTCTGTACAGTGGCTTTAG